CTAAATGGGACTAATAACTCCCACACGCCCATCACGGTTGCTCCTGTACCTCTTAGAACGTCGCGGCGCGCGGATGACCTATGACCCGTTACTGTCGCGCCCTTGAACTAGTGACCCAGTCACAGCTGAGCGAAGTCATTATTACCTCAACATCTACGTTATTTTATAATTATATTCAATGAAATAAACATATTTGGAATCCCTGATATATATTCTTCTAAATGTTGTGACAGAGACGGTACCGCGTAAATATTTGGTGTCACAACTGTTGTGACGGCGACGCGTTGGAGGGTACACAAGGATCACCAGCGACCCACGAACACACCGAGTTATGTCACTCGGGAAATCCCAGGAAAAAAGTAACTGTCTTCGAACCCGCAACGAAATTAATCAGTAGAAAATTGGAGGAGTGGGAAATACAGTAAATCCTCTGTTGTCGCTAGTAAGATGGAGTCTGATTTAGCCATCAGTACTTGCCCTGACTCACTGACTTATTCATCAACACACACCCTAAACCTGGGTCTACAAATGCTTTTTATGTTGTAAGCACCCACTAGGAAAGGGTTTTTTGAAAATATCATCCCCAAGGGGGTAAAATAAAGAAAAATAGCTAGTTTATCAATACGAATATTAAATCGGCTCTAGGCATAAGCCAGAGCTGAAACACCAAGGTGATTATATTACACGCTGAGAACTGGTTTGACTGTTATTTAATCTGTTGTTTAATCTGTTTAATCTATTATAAGTGCGTAGCGTATGAATTACTGGGTGTATTTATACAACACTGTAATTCTCAGATCAAATAAAAAAGTTAAGGTGGTACTTTGTGAACAAAAAAGTGAGGGAAATAACGCCTTGGCGTATACATACCCACGTACTATTAAACTACGCCTTACTATGTAGTTTAAGATATCTATGTAGATCTAGTATACGCATAAGTGCAGCATCCTGTATGGTGACGGATTAAGAATACAAAGTGTCACCACCCCAATTCAACCCAATGGGTCGACTGAGGGAACAAACTACGCAGAACAACAACACTGCAAAGAGAAGGAAAACTTGAAACAAGCCCTATATCAACTCGTCTGGCCAGCGTGGTATAGTAGGCCAAAACCTCCTTTCTAAGGAGAGGCCTATGTCCAGCAGTGGACTGTTATAGGCTGCTGATGTGATAATATTTTGTACGAAAGGTGCAGGTGTCTGTTATATGCTATTTGACCATGATTGCCTAACTAACTAGTGTCTCGTATGCAGTACATGTAGTTAGCTCAGTTATCCTGGCTGATGAGCGAGAAGTCGTGGGTTCGATTCCGACCTAAGATAGTTGTGTGATGAGCACGAACAAGGAAAAGAGAAAGAAAACTTGAAACAAACCCTATACCAACCCGTCTGGCTGGCGTGGTATAGTAGGCCAAAAGCTCCTTTCTAAGGAGAGGCCTATCTCCAGCAGTGGACTAGTAAAGGCTGTTGATGATGATGATGAGCACGATCATTGATTCTGTATCTGGAATTATTTATTTGGAAATATATAAGTATGTTTAGCAGCTGTTATCATAGTACAGAATGTGTCTTTTTTGGGATCTTAGCCGTGTCTGATTTGTGAGGTTATTATTATTACAACAATTATAACAATTTGTAATTTCCATGGGTCGACTCCGGTGTTATGTAGGACTATAAGGTTGGTAACCCGTCCGTTGACTAAGACAACCTCACTGTCGTTTGCAGAGGTTCCTATTCCCTCCAATAATACCTCGTCTTTCCAGCAACGTATATGCACAATTTTAACACGAGCAGTTGAGTAGTGTAGTTTTAAACAAACAAACACTACTGCATTTCTGATCTCAGTTGGAGGGCAAGTGGTGGGGGGCTGGGTACCAGTGAAAGTGAATCTCGTTCGCCGGCGCGTGTACGCGGAAATACAACCATTACATGATCATCTATGTAAGTGTTTATAATTTATTTCGCTTCTTACGTTGCATTTCGGGTTCGATCATATTTAAATAGTAACCAATTGAAAATTAAGTAACATAAAAACGTAACGTATAAATAATGCAAAATTTACGGCAATATTATAAATAGGTACGAGTATGTTTACTTAAAAACAATAGAACAAAATACAATTTATTTGAGTAATATTTCTTTGTTTAATATTTTAATATAAACAATGTTTTTTTTTAATAAAATTGAAATATTGTCAAGTGTGTTTTAATAAATGTATTTTAATTTTGGGTGCGTAACGAACTTTTTTAAAAACTAGCACCGACTTCAATACAATTTAGGTGAATCATAATGAATAATAAACTATAGTCTTCTGAGAAAAACTAAGTCGGTTTAAAAAATAATGACTGAATGCTGTTCCCGAGTAAATAAGCCGAGATCTCGAGAAGGTCTGGGTTTGATATTTATAAGTGAAGTGCCTACTGTTGGAAAGTTAGAGCATTTAATAATTCTAGACAGGAATAATAATGACCTATGGACATTATTTTTAACCTATTTCAAAAATACAACGCCATCTAGTTTTAAACTAAGCAGAGCTTGTACTGTGAAAGCTGGATTGACTGATAGAATACTTTTGTACTTTTTTAGGGTTCAGTACCTCAAAAGTTAAAAAAGGAACCCTTATAAGATCACTTTCTTGTCTGTCTCTCCGTTGATTTTCTCAGGAACGGTTATACCTAGCCAGTTGAAATTTATACCAGATACTGAGGTCTATGGTCCCTATTAGGTGTATAAAAATCAAGGTCCTGAGTCAACTCGTGCGCCGAGGGTTCCGTGCCTACCCAGATTTACGTAGATGTTCGCGAAAATTTGAAAGTACCAAAATTTGCCTTAATTTTCAACTTCTTTTATTTTCAGAAAATTCAAAATAAAAAAAGTTTAAAATTAAGATAAATTTTTAAAAATCTGTAAAATCTGGCTAGGCACGGAACCCTCGGCGCACGAGTTCGACTCGTGTACATAATACATAGAAAACACCTAAACTCCTTAACAAATATTTGCAGATCATACAAGCATTTGCTCCGATCCAGGAATCGAATCTGAGACCTCAGTACAGCACTCGCATATGCTACCAGCCAAATGTTTGTATGATCTGTAAATATTTGTTTCCGAGTTTGAGTGTTTTCTATGCATTACATGTGTGTATTTACAAAAAAGTATATAAGCATTCTATCGGTCAATCTAGCTTTCATAGTACAAGCTCTGCTTAGTTTGAAACTAGATGGCGTTGTGTATCAGATGTCCGAGAATTTTTATTGTTGATTTACTTTGATGCAATTAACATTATTAATAGACACGTATGAAAATAATTACAGAATACCGGAGGATATCTTTACCTCGGCATTCAGACCAGACATATTCTCACGGTGCCGTGGGAAACTGACATCCCTAAAGACCACGTTTTAAAAAGAAACAAGTACTTTGACTTGTAAAACGAGATGACTAAAAATGGTTACTTCGTTGAGTTGTATGCCGTGGAAGTGGGTGCGAGGGGTATAAGATCTAAATCCCTCCATAACCCGCTTAAAGACCTTGGATTGCCAAGAGCTTCAGTGAGCTCTTTTCTCGAACCAATGTCCAAAGCGGCATTGCTAGGCTCGTATCAAACATGGTTAGGTAGAGGGGGTAACACAGCAGACAGTAGGTACTCCCTAAACCTATTCCTGGGTCGCAATTTCCAAGCGCTGTCGAAGTCGCATGTGTTGACCCCATCTATCACGCGATGGACCCGGCACCTAGGAGGGTGGATCCATGGCACGCTAAGAATAGGTCTTTTTCGAGCTGTATATCAATATGTTAGCTATTATAATACTCGTATTAATAGTATCAATATAACAGTTTTAAAGGAGAGTTGAATTAAAGTGTAAAAAAAGTTATATTCACCTCCTGACCTCATCATCATCACCAAACCTGATCTGTTGTACTCATCAATATGGATCATATGGGACCAAACCAGAGGGGTTTACTAAAACCATTGGAAGAGTACCAGTTATCTAATCACAACATACAAAGTTTAATTATTGTACGAAAATTAGAAGTTGGTTATTTACTTTTAAGATTAGTTTAATTCTTAGCTAAAAAAAGTGATTGAGTGCCGAATTTATGAACCTAATAATATAAAAGAATTTTATTATTTGTTCAATATAGATTCCTTTAAAAATGCTTGTCCTTGTGGTAACGGATTAAGAATACGGAGTGTCACCACCCCTATTCGTCCCGTGGGTGTCGTAAGAGCCGACTAAGGGAGCAAACTACGCAGGACAACAGCACTGCATAGAGAAGGAAAACTTGAAACAAACCCTATTCCAACCCGTCTGGCCAGAGTGATAAGGTAGGCCAAAACCTCCCTTTTAAGGAGAGGCCTATGTCCAGCAGTGGACTATTGAAGGCTGTTGATATGATGTGAAAAATGCATAGGTAAAAAGTTAATAGGTAAAAGCTTGGGATTTCTTTAAATGATCGTTTTATCCATTATATACAATTCCCAATGTTGCGTAAGGAAAGGACTGTTAACAAAACTCATTCTTTCAAACTAATTCACCATTAACATACATATCATAATATTATTTAGTACATCGGTTTTTTTTTAATTTGAATAATAATAATATTCTACCACATTCACACAAATCACCATCTATCCCCAAACTAAGCAGAGCTTGTACTATGGCTGCTAGACAATTGATATACTTTTTTTTGTGAAATCATAGATATTATAAATAAAAACGCCCAGACCAAATCAAACATTAAAAGTTCATTCACGCAAATGTTTGACTTGAGCGGGTATCGAACCCGCGACATTTGGAATTGGAGTCCGTTACACAAACCACTACGCCATTAGGTCGTCTCTTATAATCAGTTATCAGATCAGAATCAGATAATCAGTTTCTAAAGTTAACTGACTAAAATATTACGAAGGAAGTGTAGTGAGTAACTTACTAAAACAACCTATTCGGTAACACAGAATTAATAAAAAAAAACAAGTAAATAAAATATCAACTTACGCAAACTCTGTGCCGCAATTAAACTCGTCGAACAAACCAAAAACAATATATAGTTATACATTTTTTTTTTCACTCCTCGTTACACATTCACGTTTCGGAATAAGAGTGACAGTCTCGCAAGCGCCGTGGGCTCAACTGAGGCGCGCGCGTCATGTCCTCCATATTTATTCTTGAATGCGCCAAAGATTGCAAAATTTTATGATTGCTTCTCAATTTCATCGTATAATTATCGTAATTTTCCATGGTGGATGTATGCACAGTAAAATTGATCAAAAATTTTCTGTCTCATAGTTTTAATATGTTGCAGTTGAGAAAATGTGTCGAGGTCATGGCAGATGTTATGCATTATAAACATTTTTGATTAAAAAAATGTACTATACAATATTCCTAATAATTTAAAAATAGAATACATATGTGATCTTATCCGATCGGTACAATTTGGTCGAAATGTGGGTCACCAAAATGGTATTCTGTCAATATTATTTTTAAGATTAAATGTTGATTTACATATTTAAAACATTGAAACAGCGAAGCTTTTTGACTTCCTAAGATACAGGAATATAAACCTATCTTATAAGTCAGAGATTTAAAACATTATATAGTACCCGGTTTAAGCCATAAGCCAGTAAGGATAGTGGTATATTTATTTATTATTGTTGTTTTATAACAGGTAATGGTTTCAATAATGAATTTATTACATCATCCTTTACTAGTCCACTGCTGGACATAAAGCCGCATTTTCACGTTACGATTATAGTATACACGTTACGAGTTGAATAGCATCCGAGTATCATGTTATCTAGTTGTTTCATTGCACTACATTCATTTTCAAGATGTCCGATGATGACGATCTTCTACTAAGAGGTATAGAAATAGTGGCAGATATGTTAATTACTGAAGCACAAGAGCACCTAATAAGAAAGAAAAAGCCGTGTGGTGTCGTGGGACACCCGATAGGAACGAAGTTGTGACGATCGAGTAAAACTGATTTGTACATATTAAAAACAATTAAAACAATTTATACATTGGTAAAATCTCCTTGCGAAATGATTTCCTATCTATTCGATAGATGGCGCTGAATGTCTGACAAGATGACACGAAAATAAAGAGCAAAAAGCCAACATCACGTGGTATTCCCAGGCGGTCACCCATCCAAGTACTAACCACGCCCGATGTTGCTTAACTTCGGTTATCGGACGAGAACTTTTATATTCAATATGGTATGGACGTTGGCGAACGTTAAAGCAAATTTAATGTATGGTATCCACAGTTAGACGTCAATTTATATTAAAAGTGTCGTTCCAAATTTTCGTACGAATTTTTTCCGTCTAGCCCCCTTTCACAACGCGCGATAAGGAACTTCGTTCCAAAAAGAAAGAAAAAATTTGGACACGAAAATAGATTCTGAGACGTGACCAGCTGGGTGCTTCAAATAATTTTCTTCGTGAAGTGGAAATTGAAGATAAGGAGACTTTTGAAAACCATATGAAACTGAACAGCGAACAATTTGAGTATTTACTACAAAAAGTAGCACTAAAAATACAAAAATCAGATACTGTAATGAGGGAAGCACTACCTGCTCGAGTTAAACTTCAAATAGTTTTGAGATATCTAGCTACTGGCGATTCTTTTCGCAGTTTAGAAAGTCACTTTCGCGTACCAAAATGATCTATATCCTTGTCTTTACCTTCAGTACTAAATGCAATTTATGAAGCATTATTTGAAGCATTATACAGGTCAGCATGATTAAGTATAAAAACTATTACTTTTTATTCTTTTTATTTAAATAGTAAGTACAAACTAAAATCAGTCTCAAATTATATTATAATAAAACTCTTAATAAAAAAAACATTCATTCTTCTGCTCGAGTAATAATTCCACCAATATTACGTATTGCCTCTTCTAACTCCACGGTATCCTATCTGGTATCGTAAGTCCTGATATATTTATATTATTAATAATGCGTTGTATTGCAGCATTTCGAGTGTCTTTATTTTTGTATAGATTTAGCTTCACATGCCACAACACTTCCTCCTCTTCGTAAACCTCCACAAACCTCATAGTGTCACGTTCACTCCACTTTTTTTTTGTTGACGCCATTATGTTTACGTAAAATGATACGAGTGGACTCGAAAAAATAGAACCGCGTCCGAGTCCACTCTGATCGGTATCCGACGTCCGAGTGCACTCAGATGGCGTGTTTACACGATACGAGTTGCATCCGAGTAGCACTCGGTCTGAGCCCACTCGTAACGTGAAAACGCGGCTTAAGCCTCTCCTTAGAAAGGAGGTTTTGGCCTACTATACCACGCCGGCCAGACGGGTTGGTAAAGGGTTGTGTCAAGTTTTCCTTCTCTTTGCAGTGCTGTTGTCCTCCGTAGTTTGTTCCCTTTTTACTATTTTACGACGGCGACGCCCGACATGCCGCGGCGGTAGTCCATTCGGTTCCCACTCAGTGCAAATAAATAATTGTATGCATGTAAGTATCGAGATTTGGATGGGTGTTTTATATAGGTAATATCTCATCATGTTCTAGAACAAACATAAAAAGCCGTGCTGAGTCTGGGTCGTGGAGTGTAATGTCCAAGGTATTTTGTTTATTATATTGCCAATTGCGTGCGATGACGGATTAAGAATACAGAGTGTCACCAACCCTATTCATCCCGTGGGTGTCGTAAGAGCCGACTAAGGGAAAAAAACTATGCAAAACAACAGCACTGCAGAGAGAAGGAAAACTATACCAACCCGTCTAGCTAGCGTGGTATGGTAGGCCAAAACCTCCTTTCTAAGGAGAGGCTTATGTCCTGCAGTGGACTGGCTGTTGATGAATAAAGCGGTATACTCGTACAAGCATGTGGTCCGCATGTCATTCGTCTTTAAACACCAAACATATCACGTCTGCTTAGCCACTCCATGTGGAAGAGCGAGGAACTCTGGTCATCATATTCTTAAAAACACCAAAAGCTTTTTATTGTCCTATTCCCAAGATTTGTTTGGCAAAGGTCCTTTTACAGTTGGGCGGCTCCAATTTGCTCAGAAATCTACGGTACCCTATAATATTGTACACGAAATAAACTAATTAAATTATTTTAATAATTAAAATATTTGAATGAATTATCACAATTGACATAATGGTATAATTAATTTAGTTAATTACGTTAGGTAGCATAATAAATTATTACGGCTTTGAACTAAATTACAGTCTTTATAATATCATGTTATAATATTTATTTACATTTATAAGTAACAGGTATCCACTAAAACATTAACGTAGTATAACGTTAGTTCATATTTTTAGTAACTTTCTGGTGGTTTTGAGTGTTTCCACGGCCTACTAAAGTGCAGGCGGTAGTCTCGTGCTTCGGGTCGTTGATCTTGACTAATATCGGCTAAGATACATGATGGCTGGGGCCCGTTTTCCGTCTGTATGGACTGGCAGACTCAAAACTAGAGACCTTTCTTCGAAAGGCCTACCCAGACCCTATACTGTACTCGCACAGTTTTCTGTAACTTTGTTTACGGACTTAAAAAAAAAGACACCTCTGTGGTTTGCTTCGGCGTTTCTTCCAAGAGTGAGTCTTAGGAAATGCTGGCTCCTTCTAGCTGTCAAGCCCGACATGTAAAAAAATTTGAAAAGATTTATTTGAAGAAATAAATATCATTTATCGTTTATAACTGTCTGTTACGTTTAGAAAAACTCTCAATAATTATATTTCCTGAAATAACCAGATAGATTTTTGTTGGGGAAGCGGACAAACGGAGAAATGGCTCCATAAAAGAGCGTACTCTTTAATTGCAGAGTTACTCCTCAGTTGCAGACATTCAGGTAGTCACTTTCCATCAAGTGACCCGTTGTTTGCCCCCTCATGATCTGCCTACCCTTATCCCAATTTTATTTGGGGTCGGCGAAGTATGTATGATTCTTTCATTCTACTCTATCATTCGTCATCTCACTGTTTACTACCTTCCTAGCCATATCCTCACTCACACAGTCCATCCACCTTGTCTTTGGTCCTGCTCTTCTCTTGTACCCTTCAACGTTTTGACTGCACGGATGGCGTAGTGGGTTAACCGATCGCCGCGCCGTTTTCTACTGCGCTGAATGTTGTGTGTTCGATGCCCACAATGGACACCACTTTGTGTGATCCACAAATCGTTGTTCTGAGTCTGGGTGTTCTTTGTGTCCGTTTCATGTATGTTTGTAAGGTCCCCCGAGACACAGGATATGTTCCTAATGCGAGCGTGGTTTTAAAAACTCACTTACCTAACAGTTTCTTCGCCACATTTTCCTCATCCCTCTGCAGGACATGTTCATATACCGGGCAAACGCCCCCTAAATTATAAAAAACCAACAAATACTTACATTGTATGTACATTTGGAATATATTCAACTAAAAATAGCTTCTAAATTATACAAGAAATAGGCCTTGAACATCTTTAGAAGGATAAATTAACAAACAATAAAAGGAATGCCGTTTGATTCTGAAAAAGTCCACCTCCATACACTGACAGTGACTCTGTCAACGTATGAAGGTTGACTTGCTAAGTAGTTCAAAATAAGGAGCCATAGTACACTTAGTACAGCCGTCCGTGTGGTGACGGATTAAGAATACAGAGTGTCACTACCCCTATTCATCCTGTGGGTGTCGTAAGAGGCGACTAAGGGAGCGAACTACGCAGGACAACAGCACTGCAGAGAGAAGGAAAACTTGACACAAACCCTATACCAACCCGTCTGGCCAGCGTGGTGTAGTAGGCCAAAACCTCCTTTCTAAGGAGAGGCCTATGTCCAGCAGTGGACTGATAAAGGCTGTTGATGTGATGATGTGATGATGATAGTACACTTGAAGACTTGAAGCTAGTCGGAAGCTAAGAATTCTAGCTCAGTGAAATAATTTGTCAATAATAAATTCAAACTCTCTTTATTTCATAAATTTTTTAAAATTGTTTGAAATCGTCTTTTAATGTGACTCTAAAGTCATAGATCAACACACACAAAAGCAACAATTTCTGTTTTGCCAAATAGTAAGCAAATTAATTTAACAAAAGCTAAACCCATACAAAATCTATGATATGCCTGTGCCGATCTACAACCGCCCGTTTCCAAGGGGTTGAGCCTTATGAGAAGAAAGGGCAAACAAACTCACGGCCAGTTAAGTTAAACTGGCGTGCAGTTATTCTAGTAGTTAGTGACAGCTAAGTGGAAGGTCAGCTATCCGTGTGGTGACGGATTAAGAATACAGAGTGTCACCACCCCTATTCATCCCGTGGGTGTCGTAAGGGCCGACTAAGGGAACAAACTGCACAGGACAACAGCACTGCAAAAATAAGGAAAACTTGAAACAAACCCTATACCAACTCGTCTGGCCAGCGTGGTATAGTAGGCCAAAGCCTCCTTTCTAAGGAGAGGCCTACGTCCAGCAGACTATTATAGGCTGTTGATGAAGCCGGAGGTCGTGGGTTCAATTCCCACTCAGAACAAGTAATTGTGTGATGAGCCCGATCATTTGTCTGTATCTGGGTGTGATTTATCTATATAAATCAATAAAATTGAAGTGTCTGTTTGTAATGTCAAAATAATAGGTTTTTTAATGATCACACTGTTATTTGCATGATACCTATGCCCTAAAAACCAGTTTAAATATTTTTGTCTTTTTGTTCTGGGTAATCTTCAAAACGGCTGGACCGATTTTTATAATATTTTACTACCAGGTGTCTATATAAAGAGTAACTTAGGCTATTTTTCCTTTTAGAAAAACCTTATAAAATTTTGCCCGGTCCGGGAATCGAATCCGAGGTCTCATGGACTGCACCACTAAGGTAGCGCTTCACAAATTGCACGCGAATGAAGGCGGGTGTACCAGTTATAATATGTATGTATTTGGAAATATATAAGTATGTTTATAAGCAGTCTGGTGAACATAGTACAGGCTCTGCCTAGTTTGGGATCAGACGGCCGTGTGTGGGATGTGTGAGGATATTATTATTGTTATTATTAATGAAACACCCCTTAAATGAATGTAATAAAATTTATTAGTCTCTCTAAGTTATACTCGTAGTCTCAGGAGGAAAAAAGGACTACTCGTCGTAAGTCGACTAAGTCGTAAATCCGATCTTTGGGTGAAGACTGCTACTATCAGGGACATACAGGCAGTACCACGCAATGGGACAAATATTAAATGATACGCTAATTAAATCAGTATGTTGAAGATAAAAAAGTTTTTATGTCACAGGTGCGCAAACAGAAGCGGAGCCCGGGATTAAGTCAGGTACCGCAGACGACTCAGCCTCAGACTCTGACAAACAACCTCCGTCCTCCATAAGGGCAGGCCTGAGGGGTGACAGGTGAGGCTATCTGTCACCCTAGCAGAAGCAGGCTGGGTTGAGGGCGCGACATGCTGTGTAGTACATCTCACACATGAGGGGTCATATACAGGCTGTAGATGGCCCTGGATGGATTTCCTTCCTTCCGGTTACACCTGGTTCCCCGGCTACTGGTATATGAGACGGCATGCGGTTTTTGGTCGGTTCGGTTTATGTCACAGACAAAAAAAGGGGGCCAAACGAGCAGACGGCGAGTCACCTGATGGAAAGTGTCTACCGCCGCTGACCAGCCGCCAGAGGCCGTAGTATCTTATCTATCAGTTACAATAAATAGTGATCAAATACAATAGGTACAACCGAAATGAAACCTAGAAATAATCAGCATTAAGTTTAATATTCAATGTATCAACTAATCATATTATTATAACATCATTTTCATTGATATTCTTGTATGTATATCTGTTATCAAAGCCATATTCCTTGTAACCCTTCTGATATTTCAAAGCTAAAGAGTCTTCAGGCAAAGTACTGTTAAAAATCGAATTTCCATTAGTACCTAGTTTTACGACACCGAAATAAACATATTCATCAATTATCTCCCTCTCTTCTTTTCTTCTTTCTTTGATGATAAGAGATTCTTTTATAGGCAATAAAAGAATTACATCTTGGGTCTCTTTACCAAATTTCACTTTAGCTTGAATCGTTCCATTGATTTTATCATCGTTACAATTGTTTTTGATATCCATCGGTAGATGGCATTCAACACATCTCACTGTTTTATCATAATCAGTGTTCAATGGAACGGGAAATAAGCGATCATTCAAATAAAACCGGTAAACACACTTGTGGTTATTTAAACTGGTGACGCTACCCCGGCTTCTGATCCTAGCCTTAGCCGAATGGCATTCGAAATAGTTTTCATTTCTAAATCTTTTTAGTTTTTTAATATTATCTTCGTCGTCTGGATCTAAGTATGTGATATCTTCATCTGAATCGGAATATACTATAAATGGTAAATCGTCAGAGATTGCATGCAGTTCTGATACCTCTTTTATAGTGTCTAATCTGTTCTTATTTTTATTTTTTCCGTCATCGACTTCCACAGATTCTGTGGATTCTACAAAGTTTTTATTCTTGTAATATTGCTGAATGGGTGGAGAAGAAATCGTGCTGATAGTCACAGTGTTATCGTTGCGAACGGTTTTCGCATTAATGGCAGATACGATTTCAGTAATTTTTGTTTCTTTCTGAGCATTTTTATCGAATGTATCGCCGCACTTTTTGCAATAGTCTACTGTTCTAGTTTGAGTCTTCTTCGTAACCACTACATCTGAAGCAGTGACTCTTTTTGGTTTTGTTGCACTCTTCTTAGTGCTAACAACACTCGTTGAACAGCTCTTCGTGTCATTGCCATTAGAAGACAATTTCTTTGATGGGATGACTTTTCTTTGCTTGCTTTTATACGGGTTGCAAGTTTTATTTAAACACGGTTTTGTATTTTTCGAACTGTATGAGGTTTTAGAAGAGAAACTGCTTTTATTGGTATTCATTATGGCAGAAGAAACTTAACTTTCCACAGCTCATGTAGGAGTCTACTTGTATATGCTATTCTCGAATAGTATACTGTTCTCTATTTATGCTATACTACGCTAGAACGGTAGTTTTGTTATTGTTGTGGTTGCCATAACAACGCTGTTCTATATAATGCCTCCTTTTATACGAGTAGTAAATTTACAAAATAAATATAGAATTTTATTAATATCGTAATTATATTACGAATAAATGTTTAATAGCAGTAATAAGCAATAAATATTTATATAAATTAAATAGTAAAAACATAGCCTGTGTGAGTTTATTGCCATCTATTGTTGACTAGATAAACTGACATTGTTTTGTTGAAAATACTACTCATAGATGGCGCTCTACATAATTTCAGTGAAAACATTTAAGTCACCCATGCATGATTAACATTTTTTATTGTACTGCACAAGGATTACCTAAACATAGTTTCTCTAATTAATAAAGTAACATTTTATCTTATCGTTATTTTAATAACGACACTCATGAATAAATCCTTTTGACAAGTGAACCTTTTAAAGTTAGCAGGAGCTTAGCCACCACCGAGTATAGATGGCGCTGTGCATAACCCAAAAACAAAGACTGTGTCTTCAAAAAACTATTTTTAAAATATCAGTATGTTTTGTTTCGTTCTGAATTGTTTTTATTAAATACCGAACTTCTTGTAATAGGATACTTTTCTCGCTTGAGTCTTCTCCGTGACCACCTCATCGAGATAGAAGAACTACACAAAACATCTTTGGAAGCTGCCCTCAAATGGCGGCAACGCGCTTAAGTCTCTTGAAATGTATCTGTCCGAGGGCGGCGATAACCACTTACCATCAGGTGACCCGTCTGCTCGATTGTCACCTCGTAATCCTATGATTCCAAATTTCTTAAGTCCGTGTGAAATTGATATCTTACAAACACAATCTATTAATTTGTGTTTTTTCTGCCTTCCTGGCGAAATTGTAATCGTAAATGTAAACGCCTGTTGGGATCCTCGGCAAGCAGAATAAGCTTTCTGAATACTGACAGTATTTAAATCGTCGTTTCTTTACTTTATCATATGGTTTTAAGACATAAACTAACCTATATTCGATTCGTAAAGCTAAAACCAAGTTTATTTAACTAAATATTAGTTATTTTTTAATTTTAAAAGTTTTGTGGGAATAAAACGTCACCTCCAGTGCGTCATGTGACATACTGCCAGAACAAAATTGAGACCAACTATAATTGTAAAGTTTAGTGTCCAATAAAATATTTTAAAATTTTAACTTGATTTTCGTGTGTAGAAGTTTTGTTTTGAAATTTAAAGTATTTTTTTCATTTTACTTGGTAACTGACTTTGTTAACATGTATTGTAAAGAGATAAATTTGTTTTTTTTTGTTTGTTTTTTTTAAACAAGAGAATTGATGAAAACCGCACCCATAAGCCACTTCGACGAAGATATAAAAATTTGCGTGCCAATTAAAAATAAGCTTGAAATTAAGTCGAAAAAATGTTCAATTAGTACACAATAATATTTAATGTTATTTCTTTGTCAATTTAAAAATTATCGCCATTTAAAAAAATAAAATAATCACCAACGACTAAATTGGTCCTTGTTGTATCAGTTATGTGATCTCAAATTGATAATTTTATACTTTTTTATACTTTTATGTGTAAAAAAAGGTTTAAGGAATTGAAATTAATTGAAATGATATTTATTTCTGCAAGTAAATCTTTTCAGATATTTTTACAAGTCGCAATTGTTGAAACGCCTAAACAAACCACTGAGATGTCTTTCTTAAGTCCGTGTACAATGTTAAAGAGAACTAGGTGAGTGCAGGATAGGGTCTGGGTTGGCCTTTTGAAGAAAGGACCATAGTATTGAGTCGGTATTGATATTTTAGGCCTCCAACTACCCGTAACGATTGCCACAGATGTTCATATGGGAACAGGGACCGACGGCTCAACGGGCTCTAAGTATCAAATATTAGAAGCAATAATATTGTTAAAGCTAACTCCACTAGTATGCAAATTAGATCGTAAATCAATGAATATATTATGCTCTGTGCACAAAGGGAGGATCCTCCGTCCGGGCTAGGAGATTAGGTATACCTGGCGGACTGATTAAGATCTGCCTGGCGAACTGCCAACCAAAGGATGATTCTGTTGATGTTTAGATTATATACTGATTGGAGCGAAAATTTTCATGGCGTGTTGCTGTATTAGTAGTAACTAAGGATAGTTCCATGTGTCTTCAATAGATGGCACTGAATTATTTATTCGTTGTTTGTGCAATCTAAGTAATATCGATGATATTTTCGTTTAGCTACCTAGGGCGTTGAGATCGATTAAGTGGATACGAGTTCAAACCCCACACCTAGAAAAAACATTGTAGATTTATACATTTCCGTTCTTAGATTTTGATTGTACGCGGGAGAGCCATGCTGTGGTACAAATGGGCCAGTCTCAACCGTAGTGATACCACGGCCTCATAGAAAACCCATAGTAAACAAATCATTCGTTTCTTTTCACCGAGTGAGGTTGTCGGAGCACAAACCCTTCCTCTCCTTTACTCTGGGGGGAGATCTCAAGGAGCGGCAACTCACTTGTGACCCTTAAGGTCTTGTCTGTTTGATTGTCCTCAAAGCCATAAAGGTTTGTTCTTAATGCTTCATTCCGTCGTTCCATCCCATTTCCATCACGCTGATGGTTATCAGGGTCGTTGATGATGCCTTTACCTTGATGTTGCTTCACAGAGCTAATTACACATTGTATTCAGAGCATGGGATATTGTCCCGTGTTTAGAAAATCATTACTACCATTAGACATTCTTTGTGGCGTAATTTATGGTGATTTCTTTATGCTTTATGGTGTGACAAGAATCATATTTATAGCACTTCGTACATCAAGGGTTTGGACAACAAACAGTGTAGTGACGAATTAAGAATACGAAGTGTTACCACCCCTATTCATCCCATGCGTAGGAGCCGAGTAAGGGAGCAAACTACGCAGGACAACAGCACTGCGAAGGGAAGGAACTTGAAACAAACCTTATACCAACCCGTCTGGCCAGCGTGGTATAGTAGGCCAAAACCTCCTTCCTAAGGAGAGGCCTATGTCTAGCAGTGGACTATTTAAGTTGGTTGATGATGACAGTGTACGTACAACGCTAAATTTTGGAACTATTCAATGCTGGTTCTTAGTAAACAGGACACGATATAAAAATATTTTTCTATTTCTCACCATTATATCACGAAGCCATATTATTCTAAATATCGTAGACAATGTTAGATTAAAACATCTATTGTGAGTTATGTTACGTTATGATAACATTTTTATTATACATTTCCGAACTCCGCGATACTCATTTACTGTTGGTATATTTTATTGTAGGAATTGTCGTGGATGAGAATCGAACCCACGAATCCGGCTCTGCAATCAGTACCACTAGACCAACAGGCAGCAAATAAAAATATAAATGATCACCCTAACTAGAGAGAACCCCTCTAGAGGGGCTTACTCTTTGGGTCTGCACACCAGGAATCGCAACGCATTTGTGCATTGTCGCAAATTTTAATGTTTATGGTTTGTCTGCCCCCTACCATACTATAAAAATTTAAGTAGGATCATGTCAAATACGGCTTTGGAAATCAGGGTCCATTAACATTATAGAACCAGTTCTTTTTACTAGCTAGCAATTTGCCCCGCACAACCAATCTGTGGAACGGGTTATCATCTGCGGTATTTCCGGACCGATACGACCTTCAAACCTTCAAGAAAAGAGCGTACTCCTTCCTGAAAGGCCGGCAACGCGTTTGTCTCTCCTGAGTTGCAGACGTTCATGGGCGGCGATGGTAACCGTAAAACGTCTGCTCGTCTGCCCCCTCTAGCATAAAAAAAAAAATAGCTGACCCACTAAACTTCATATTTTGGCGGTTTTTTCAAGTTTTGTCATTGATGCTCGCCTCCTATTGGTCTATCAAACACTTATAGAATATTTCAATTTGAACCAGTAGTGCTTGAGATTAGTGCGTTCCACCAAACAAAGAAACTCTTCGCCTTTTAAAACTCTTTAGCTTACAATATTGCTAAAGATACACTCACGCCTAAATCCTTGAAAGGGTAAACAGAGTGGTATTAAACGCCCACATTTTGACAACTATAATTTTAGTTGTAGGATTGTCATCATCATCATCACGAGTCCTCTGCGTCCAGCAGTTGACTGTTAGAGGCTGTCGAAGCTGTCCAAAAATTCAGAATCTTTTAATCGTTATCTGATCGTTAGTGATAACATTAAAATAATAATAACAATTTGTGACACATCTCATCACATCAACAGCCTTCAATAGTCCACTGCTGGACATAGGCCTCTCATTAGAAGGGAGATTTTGGCCTACTACTCGTATATCATGCTGGCCAGACGGGTTGGTATAGGGTATGTTTCAAGTTTTCCTTCTTTATGCAGTGCTGTTGTCCTGCGTAGTTGGCTGCCTTAGTCGGCTCTTACGACACCCACGGGATGAATAGGGGTGGTGACAGTCCGTATTCTTAATCCGTCACAACACGGGCCTAATTCCAAACTAGGCAGAACCTATACTATACTACTGAAAAACAAACTTCATCATCATCATCAGCCTATCGCAGTCCACTGCTGGACATAGGCCTCTCCCATTGCACGCCACTTAGATCGAATTTGGGCTTCTCGCATCCAGCTCCTGCCAGCCATCTTGCGCAAATCGTCACTCCACCTGGCCTTTCCACAAACTTATATGTTACCAATTACATGGTGTAGATAAATTACACCAGACACAGAAGAAATGATGGTGGGAATGGAATCCTCGGCTATAGAGAATGTAACCGAAGGTGATGCCCGCGCCAGTGTGAGCAGGTTCTATGTGTCCCGGATGTCTTAATAACAGCAGTTCCCGGATACCTCCAATTTCAGATGCAGAGTGGCTCGGTTCGATACCGACACATCATCACACCAACAGCCTTAACTAGTCAACTGATGGACACAGGCCTCTCCTTAGAAAGGAGGGTTTGGCCTACTATACCACGTTGACCATTCGACACATCACCCCACTTCAAATCCCGGTGGGGTGACAGCCGAAGGTGGTCTCCAAAAAAAAAAGTTTAGCAGTCAGGACTAAATCACTAAACCAGCAGGTCAATCAAAATTTAAAAGTTATTTTGTGATCTGAATTTTGAACCTTTTAATGGTGTTGATGGTCATAGTGAGACGATACCATAACGTGGTTATTGATTAAAGGTTCAGTATCATTGGTTCACTGCACACTATGCTCCTATACAGGGTCGCGGCCTAGTATGGTGACCATGATGTTTTACAATTGTAAGGACAAAAATATATTTTTATCATCATCATTATCAATAACTTTTTAGAGTCCACTGCTGGACATATACCTCGCCTTAGAAAGGAGGTTTTGGTCTACTATACCACGCTGACTACATGGGTTGTTATAGGTTTTGTTTCAAGTTTTCCTTCTCTCTGCAGTGCTGTTGTCCTGCTTCATTTGCTCACTTAGTCGGCTCTCACGACACCTACGGGATGAATAGGGGTGGTGATACTCCGTTTTCTTAATCCGTCACCACACGGAGGGTGTCATAAGTAGAACATCATTAGGTATCCCGTCTCCTCGTTTGCCACTTACTTCATAAAAAAATGATATCATTTGTATTTCTTACCCCGTATTATTCATTAAATATTATTCATTCACACATTCTTAGCATTTAATATCACTATTATTTCACTTCTTATTTTCAAATAAGTTAAATACTTAAGAACTATGAAAAAGGGTATTTAAAGCCTGCATTCAGAAGTACATCTCAAAGTTACAAAAGCTTTATCAAGATGATCTTGGAAATTGTGGCTTTGCTCTTCATTTCTCCATACTTTATTTTGTGTTTATAAATATTTATCCTATATTATAACGAACATGAAAGGTTTGTCTTTATTTTCAGTCTTATTCTTCTGTCTATATTCTTAACTCCTCGTAACTACTTCTGTCAGCTATGATGTTTTTATTTCTTTACATTTTGTGTCACAGTGTGTTAATTCTTCTATTGTATCCAGTATATCATTTCAATCCACTTACGAAACAAAATTACAATATTTGAGTTTTCTTTCTTTGTTTTTATAATTTTCTATCTATCTTGATATTTTAATTTACTTGATTTGTTCTTCTATTTTACTTATTAATTGTATCATATTCATTTTATGTCTGATAACTAGCTCTTTGTATCTTTTAATTCCAAATCAACAACCGAAGAAATTATTGCGATAACGGCGTGTCTTCGTCATTCAAGTAAGTTGAGTTTTATTTTTTGACCATGACAAATGGCATTTGTGAATAAATCATTTTATATTTTCGGCACTCGGATTTTCGATTCTGAGCTGCTGCTACTTCACATCATATTACATTAACAGCCTTTAATAGTCCACTGCTGGATATAGGCTTTTCCTTAGGAAGGTGGTTTTGGCCTACTATACCACGCTGGCCAGACGGTTTGGTATAGGGTTTGTGTCAAGTTTTCCTTATCTTTGCTGTGCTCTTACGACACTCACGGGATGAATTCTCTTATCCATTCTTACAAGAAATATTCCTATTTCTACCATAGGAATAAGTTTTTTATGTGAGTTAATATGTAATATACGTAACCTCTGTGCACCTACCTTATAAGATTTTTACACCACCCAAAGGTTGACAGGAAGAGAATGCCCTGGGAATAAGTAAGCCGATGTACAAAAGTGCATGAAGTTAAATAAATAAATAAAATATGGACCCATGTAAATGTATATTTAAATGTAAAACATTTATATCTAACCAATACTAGGCCCCATTCAGGATACTTTTGAACTGCCTATGTTTAAAGCTAAGCAGAGGTCACAAAAATCCTCAAGATGATTACTTAATTTCTGGGAACAATGGCTTACAGCACCAAATGATTTCAATTATTTACGCGTCATCAAAAACGTTACTAATCCCATTGTATAGATGATTACTGTTGTTATTTGTTTATCAATTATTGTTCTACAACACAAGTATTTATATGAATGTTTTATTATCAGAACTTCATTTCGTAGTGTAATTTCAAAGCGTCAATAGTAGGTTTCGAAAATGATTATTTGGTTAGCAGCCTTTGTATTTTTCTCACCTTATGTGATATACAAATTAATAAGAATGATGCCTACTTAAGTTACCAGTTTACAATTAGTCTTAGCTTTTAATATATTTACTTAAATCCTTTTTCTCGCCGTCCTGTAATCTCTGAAAGTGATTTCGTGGAAAGGGACGGAACTCTGTCGAAGCACGCACTGCTAGAGTTGGTCGTTAGAGAGATAGGTGAGTTATCAGATATAGTTCGTTTTTTTAATATTATTTTTGTTTTACTCAGAGCATTCTAGCTACTTGAGATATTAGGTATTCAAGAACGTTTTCAAAAAAACAGTGATTTGTGTAATTTAATTAACAAATCATTGTCGGCGCGTGTTTAATTAAAAATTAATAGTTCTAAAAGACTTTTTTGTTTATATTTCTTAGCGTTTACATGTATTTGAAACATGATCTCATTTATTTTGCTTAGTGATCGTCTCCAAATTTGTTTATTTTAATTTTAAAAAAAAGACAACTCCACTAGGAATAAATCCTGTGTCGCGGGGGACTTTACAGACATACATGAAACGGACACAAAGAACACCCAGACTCAGAGCAACAATTTGTAAATGACACAAAGTATTGTCCTATGGGGATCGGACCCACAGCACTCAGCGCAGTAGGAAGTGGTGATTGTGTCAATGCTCAACACCTAACTCTCACTATGACCAGTCTGCTCATCACATCCTCTGGGAATGTAGTCTTTGGTATAATTAACGTAATATAATGCTGAATAGCTTGCAGGTGACATCTGGGGCGGTATAAAATGGGGATCTTGTGTCAACTAGGGTGAATTTCCGTGCGTTTAGGCGATTCTGCCATACATATTATAGAAATCAAATATAGCTCACCTAGGACCCGTAATATTTTGTGGCCGTGGTGCTTTCCTGTTGTCTTCCGTTTTGCTAAGGAGGGAAGTGGATTTACTGTATTGCCAATTCCTCCAACTTTCTTCTGATTAATTTCGTTGCGGGTTCCAAGACAATTTAATTCCTTCCTGGGACTTCCTGAGTGTCATAACTCGGTGTGTTCGTGGGTCACTGCTGTGGATCCTGTTGTACAGAAGTTACAGTAGTGGGCGTGTGGGTGGGATTAGTCCCATATAGAAATCATGGTATCTAAGTATTGTGTATCGTGAGAAATATGAATATCCGTTTAACTTTGTGTATTAACCCATAACGTGATGTCACCCTACTCCTCTGTTATTGTCACTTCATACGGCTCACAGCTGAGCATTTAATGTCAGATGTGCGCACGCGCAGCTCGTCTTTACCGGTTGTTTCGGTTCAAGAGAAGTAAAAAGTGGTATTTTTTGAAGAAAGTTTTTCGGCTGTAACGATGTATAAGATTTTTGTAGTGTTTGCTTGGGCGCTGGTAAGTGTATTTTTTTTGCAATCTGTAACGGCTTGTTTTTATATTTAGAACTTTTTAAATTTGACAGTTGCTCTTGAAAAAAAAAAGAAATTTAAATTGCGCGGTTCGAACCTGGGCCTTTGAAGTAAGTTCGACATACTCATAAATTATATGTCTTCTTAGTAAAAGTCCATCAAATTCTTATTATTTTTACATTTGATTACCTCGGAGCCGCGACGGTAGTACGTTTGACTATTCCATCGAGGACACAAAACACACATGATTACAGTGAGCAGGAATCGAACCAAGGACCACTGCAATTTAATTTTTTAGTAAATATTGTAGTTTTAACTTTGTATAATTATAAAATCGATTATATTATACTAGCTGACCCGCGCAACTTCGTCTGCGTCTCTCAATAGTAATAAATTATCTCCGTTTTTGAAACATTCTTCATTGGTGCTCCGCTCCTATTGGTCTTAGCGTGATGATATATAGCCTATAGCCTTCCTCGATAAATGGGCTATCTAACACTGAAATATTTTTTTAAATCGGACCGGTAGTTCCTCAGATTAGCGCGTTCAAACACACAAACAAACAAACTCTTCAGCTTTATAATATTAATATTATATTTACAAATTATTTGCTTCTACTGCGTGCGTGTCGATGTTAATTTTGTTAATTCTTTTTTCTAGATAAAATATAGATAGCCTATGTAGCATTACACTACAATCTATCTCTGTGCTAAACTTCCTCCATATCTGGTCAGGCGTTTTGGCTAATTCTGTAACAAACATGCAAACATTTCTCCTCACAAACTTTCACGTTTTTCATATTAACTAGTTTTGCTCGTGGCTTCGCCCGCATGTAATGTAGCGTTCCATTGGTGAAAGAATTTTTAAAATGGGTTTAGTGGTTTAGGCGTGAAAGCGTAACAAACAAAGAACAATTCCTATATTAAATATTGAAAATTGGGTAAATTCATCGTTTCATTGGTTAAATTCGAAGCGCCATTGACCGACATAATCGTAAGACGTGACAAAAACTTACAATGATAATTGTTTAACAGTTAACATAATAGTTTACGGTGATAATTTTGATAAAAAAATAAAAAAACGGAGTGATGGGTCTATGGACCTCCGGTCGGAATTAAGTTCCCTTCGCTTTTTGGTAGACGTTTGCTATATATATGAAATATGAAAAAGATGTAAGCGTCGACGCGCCAACTGAAGTGTCGGAAAAAAGTCTTGTTACACATTCGGTCTCACTCTCATCGGGCGGGTAACGCGCGATTAGAAACTTCGTTCCAAAACAAAATTATCATAAACTAGATGACTTAGCCCAATTCGCCTGCGTCTGTCAAAAGTAATAATTTTTCCCCGTTTTTGCAACATTGTTCATTGGTGCTCGGCTCCTTTTGGTCGAAGCGTGATGTTATGTAGCCTATGGTATTAGTCGATAAATAGGCTATTCAACACTAAGAGAGTTTTCAATTCGAATCAGTAGTTCCTGAGATTAGCGTGCAAGCAAATAAACAAATTTATACTGTTAGTATAGTTTAATTTGAAATTTAAAATATCTTTATTTCATATTTTTTTAAATCGGCCTAGACTAGAGTATTGGTGTTTTCTATGTTTAATGTGTATTAAAAAAAATGTATATAAGTATTCTATCAGTCAATCTACCTTTTATATACAAACTCTGCTTAGTTTGAAACTAGATGGCGTTGTGTGTCAGATGTCCGAAATATTATTATGTTATTGAATGTGGTTTTTGGACAACTACTGGAGGGTACTTGTAGGAGTATACTATTATTTTATTTTTGATATATAACGGTAATCGCGGTAAAAAGTAGCGTATGTCTTTTATTAATAATCAAAGTATGTATATCCATCTCAATTATTGTAAAATATTTAACTGACTGGAATAAGTAAAGTTATTTTATTATAAAATATCTTGAAAAGCATCACACGTTTTTTTAATTTTTTTGTCATTAATGATTATTATTATCTTATCTATACAAATAAATAAAATTGGAGTGTCTGTTTGTAACATTAAAATAACCGCTTTTCACTAAATGCATATGTACGTTTACACGGTACATATGCCAAAATAACATTTTTTAAATTTTTTGTCTGTCTGTCGGTTTGTTCGGGTAATCTCTGGAACGGCTGGACCGATTTCGACGGGACTTTCACTGGCAGATAGCTGATGACATAAGGAGTAACTTAGGCTACTTTTTTTAGACTAGCTTCGCCCCGCGGCGTTACCCACGGTTATAACAACAAACGCGGGTAACACCGCGGGTCTCAGCTAGTTAAGACCAAAAACGTAACAATTAAGTTTTTCATATATGCTTCAGCACACGCCTTAGTACGTGGCCAAAGACACTACCGTATTTTTAGGTATGGAAAAAGTCGTTAATCCTGAAGGTTCTGATCAGGAAACTATTTAAATTATTGTACTGTCATTAGTCCTTGATAAGTTTGCAAAGTTTCAATTTAATTCGACATTTTAAAGTGGGTCATAATCATGTTCGAAGATTCCGTTACACAGATAAATACATACATACCAAACTAATAAAAGCATGTTAATAAATAAACAGCAGAATTAATAATCTGATACTTTTAAAAGTCGGTTAAAAAGCTTATAAAGAAACTTTATTGTGCCGAGATAAATCGTCTGATAACGAAGGCTTGTAAATACAGATCGTGTTTTATATTAGCTCAACAACTTTTGGGTGGAATACTTGTTTGAAACGGTACTTTTGATAAAGGGATACATGATACATTGAACCTATGAATAATTTATATAAATTTACATAAAGTATCACTTCTGTGTCTATTATATTAATGATTATTAATGTGAAAGGGAGATTGTCTGTTTGTTACGTTGTGATATCTTAACGCTGTTAACTGCACTGACTTGGTGAAAAACAATCAGAGAATTGGGTTACAACGGTTTCCTGTGAGGCTGACACTTCGATCAAACCGGTCCATTTGTGCCCAAGAATGGTCCATTTGTTTCTTCTTGAAAATTTACGAAGGAGATTGCAATTATTGAAGACGATCGAATACCGTCCTATGCATGCGTTCGACCTGTGCGTGGTAGCGGTACTAAATGGACTGGCGCGGGCGGTCGTGACTTCGCAAATATTTTATTGATCTTGGCACACGTATGTATTATACATATGACCACCATGTATGCTAAATTTAATGGTTTCAATATTATAGATAAATTATATTCTTATTTATAAGTGACAGATATCTCATTGCAGTCAGCAGTGACCTCTCCTTCTAATGATTCTAACATAAAGCAATTTGCTGTTGCAACATCTTTAGAACTTCCTCACTTCCAAGGTTCACCTTACTTCCTAGCCAAAGATTATTATTATTATCATTATTATTATTCTATAATGCACTAGCAGATCACAGATCTGATGCGTACATATCACTGCACTTGTGTTCGTTTTGTTGTTTTTAAATGTTCGTCTAGTCTGTTTTTAAAAATGTTCACTGATCCAGCACTAATTACACTTTCCGGTAAACTATTCCAAATGGTCACCACGCGATTTGGTAGAAAGTGTCTTCTAGGGTTGCTAACAGACGGAGACCCGGTGAGCTTCAATGGGTGTCCTCTCAATCGGGTATTAGAATTCATAGTGTAGAGGTTTCCGATGTCTTTCACATTGTAGTGTCCAGTTAATATTTTATATGTTTCAATCAGATCTCCCCGTTGCCTGCGTTGCTCCAGTGTAGTTAAGTCTAGTTCAATAAGGCGTTCCTCATATGACATGTTTTTTAATGATATAACCATTTTTGGAGCCCTCCGTTGTACTTTTTCGAGCATTTCTATGTCTTTCTTGAAGTATGGATTCCATATTTGAAATGTGTACTCCAAGAGCGGGCGGATTCTGGAGAATATCTAAGTATTTTGTCCGTACGTTACTACAGATAGGTAGGGTGTAGTAGGCCAAAACCTCCTTTCTAAGGAGAGGCCTCTGTCCAGCAGTGGACTAGTAAAGGCTGTTGATGATGATGACAGTACTACAGAGTAACGTATGGAAAACCGGGCAAATATGGTTCATTAGTTAATAAATTACTTATTATCTATACAAATAAATAAAATTGGAGTGTCTGTTTGTAATATTAAAATAACTGCTTTTTACTAAATGCATATGTACTTGCGGGTAGTTGAAAGCTCAACATATAACTTTAAAAGCTCTTATAAATAATTTGAAATAAAAATAGAATAGACATATTTTATATAAATTTAATGAATACAATAAAACCTCAATAATAAATACCTGCTAGTCAGTGTTATATCCACAGAAAAAACTAAAGTATTCAATTTTCAAAAATAAAAACTACACACAACATCACTATGAGCACTATACAAGAACTACAGGATTGTTTTGAGAAGAGGATGGCAAACTTCGAAGCAGAACTCCTGAAGAAGGCCTCAAATGCTGCTAGCTTGGCTGGCCTTGCAGAGGAGTTTACTATATTCAAGACTCTCATCTTAGAAACCTTGAAGTCCTTCCAAAGCCAGATGAAGGTGCTTGCGAATGAGGTGGACAACATGGAAACCCGCAGCCGTCGCAAGATACTCCTGGTACATGGTGTCGCTGAGGAGAAGGATGAGAATACATCCCGGGTCGTCGCCGAGGTAGCAGCAAGTAAGTTAGGTCTTGACTCATTTACAGCTGATGGTATAAGCCGCTGTCACAGGATGGGCCGACAGACTACGGTAGAAAAACCAAGACCCATTTTAGTTAAATTTAGGGCAGTGGCAGTGCGGGACCGAGTCTGGGCGTCTAAGACCAAACTTAGGGGCACTGGTGTGACACTCTCCGAGTTCCTGACCCGATCGCGACACTCTGCTTTCATGGCAGCACGTGAGGAATTCGGGATCACAAAGTGTTGGACCAAGGAAGGTACTGTTTACGTTATGGGTCCCGACGGTTCACGCCATCGTATTACTTGCGTGGCAGATCTCGACCAGATAAGGCCAGTGGCTGC